TCAGATTTTGCAAGATCTATAGTTCTATAACAGTTCTATAAAGAGTTCTGCCATATAAAAGCAAAAAAATTAATTATAAGGTACTAAAAAAAATTACAATGCATCGAGTAATACCGGTTGAGACGCCAGTTGAAATCTCGGAGTTCCGGTTTATGTAAAATATTTTTCGAGTAGTTTTGAGCATATTGAAACATTTTCTAAAGAGTTCCGAGCGTTAGAATCTTTGTGTTATATTAAAAAAAATTAATATTAACCGAAAAGTAATCATGACAGAAGAAGATGAGACGCTGTGCGAAATCTCGGAGTTTTGGCTTATATAAAATATTTTTCGTATAGTTCTGAGCATACTAAAGCATTTTTTAAAGAGTTCCCGCCACTAGCTACGTTGTATATATATGTTTATTAACTTTAGCAAACACTACGTTGTATAATTTTTAAATAAATTAATACCGCTCGGAAATCAGGAATTTATCGAAAATAAGGTGAGACGCTGGCCGTATTTCGGCAGTTCTGTGAGTTTTGCTATAATTCTCGTGTAGTTCTGAACGTATTCTAATGTTGTCCTATTTTATTCTGGCAATAAGCATTATTTATTTATTTTTTAAATAATTCTTATCGCTCGAGAAAGACCCTATTCTCGATAAATTCCTGACTTTCGTGCGTTATTAATTTATTTAAAAATTATACAACATTGCCAATGCCCGGAACTCTTTAAAAATTGTTTTAGTATGCTTAGAACTGTACGAAAAATATTTTATATAAGCCAGAACTCCGAGATTTTCTACAGCGTCTCACCCACATACCCGTAAATGTGTCTTTTTTGGGCGATAAAAATTATTTAAAATATGAATAAATAATGCTTATCGTCAGAACTCTTTAGAAATAAACGTTAGAACACGTTCAGAACTATACGAGAATTATAATAGAACTCACTGTTACCCATGTGTATTGTTTATTTAAGAAAGTGTTTTTATTTTTATCCAATTATCCTTCTGTTGTTGCTCGTAATTTGGCCGCTTAAACATGCATAGGTAAAATAAATTTAATAAGAGTGCAAGAAACATTATAAACTACCATTTTTTCCTCAATATAGTTAATAATATAATTATTGGTATGCATTTAAATATTAAATTTAAAATTTATTATGCAAAGTAAAGGTTTTTAATGTAAGACTTTTTTAGATAGAAAAGCATAGAACGGTTTCTATACATTACATTTACGAATTTTAGTTTTTATGTTTATAAATATTTATTTAATTAATTATATTTGCAATCTTTATATATTTATAAATTTCAAATATATATATATATATATATATATATATATATATATATATATATATTTATTTATTTATTTAATTATAAATATAAAAATTAAAATTTGTATACAAGCAAATGTAACGTATATAGCGGGTATAGCGTATCGTTGTTTGTCAACTCGAGACTCGGCACTCGGCGAGACACGAGACGCGATACCCGAAATGCGTGGCATCGTGGTATAGCCGGCAAGCCGGCCCGTGCAAAGCGGCAACGTCACAGCTCAAGAGAGACAGCAGATCGTATGTCTGCTCTTCTCTCCCCGCTCGAAGCTTGCCGAGGGCATAGCGTACACGGACAGAGGAAAGGCTTGCGCGACCAGCATATCCCCTCCATCTGAGTAGTTCGGACACGAACCATAGCATGGATACGAACCCATGTATCGTTACCCGAGTCTTCTCTGATCGTTACCGAGCGTAACGCCGTAGTTGACGTCCACTTTCTCAGAGGGCAGATTAGGACAGACGTACCCCGAAGCCGGATGGCCGCTCTCAGGTTTCTCTCTGCTTTCAACTTTAGATTTTTGAAAAAAATTTACAGAAAATCAAAATATATCCGATAATAATGATCAGGTAATAATAATAACTATATAACAATAATCAGATAGTAATAGTAATTAATTAAATTTTAAGAAGTACAATTTTGAGAATTTCGAAAACATTCGAGGATTCGAATCGCGAAAGTTCAAGCTTAAAAATTAATAAAATGTCAGGAGAATAATTGAACAATTCTTCTCATATCACATATTTATTTGAGAAATCTCTTTGGTATTCTTAAGACATTTTTTATTAGTTTTATAATATCGACGCTAACGTCACTGGCAACGATTCTGCGTTTCGCTTTTACACGTGGATACTGGTCGTGCATTTTTTTTATAGAAACCATTAGCCGCTGCATCAGCATCGTATCGGTAGAAATAAGTAGTTACGTTAGTAAGGCTGCGTGCCAGGAAAATATGCGAGATACGAAAATATAAGACATGTACGAATGCATTATAGCTTCTCACGCAGTCGTGAGACTAATTTCAATGACTCATCATCATTGCCGTCATCTCATCGTCATCGTCGTCATCATCATCATTGTAGGACATTGTCTGAAAAGTTCTACGCTTACTACCAGATTTGATTCACATGTGGCCACAGGAACACCAGTCTGACTGCGTACAAAAATGAATGGCTATTTGTTCTTCCAACCACATATGAGTTAGAAAAACTTTATTTTCTACGTGTAGCGTGTTATGTCTTGGCGTGAAATGGAATTATGTTGCTGCTGTTGCTGGCTGCGATTTTAAACTTTAGCCGTGTTAGTCTTCATCCTTGAAACGACGATAGATGGACTGAACATAAGTGAAGACGCACTTCCAATCCGGCCGTTGCATCATCACCATGTCCTCGACGTCAAGTAACGGCGCGATCCCAGCGACTTCGCTGCAAGAGAGAGAAGTTCTTAGGTTTGCGAATAACAAAAAAAAAGAGATTAACTAATACGTAAATATCTCAGCATCTCGAAATGAGAAATTCGGAGCTCTTACTCGGCCTTCGTAAAAGCCAGTTCGAAGTTTTTCCTGCGGTTCTCCGGACGTAGAGAATTGTAGTCGAAAGCATCCGGCCTAAAGTGGTGGATCAACGCGCAGAATGCCAAACCGTTGTTCCAGCTTGTCGAGAAGTTGTCAAGCTGTACATTCTGGAAACAGGATGAAAAAGTTTTTATACGTATAATAATTCAATAACTCGCTAACCGCAACGTGCTTTCTCTCGATAGACACAAAGAGAGCGTCGTAAGAATATTGTTTTACATAACGCATATACGATGCACACTTTACCTCGTACTCTTTGGTTTTCGATCGGCACCACGCTAGTAAACGCTCTTTAATTTGCGCAGCGTTATCTCGTACGGTTGGTTCGGTGAATTTGAATCGAAATTCCGTGGCCGGCGATTTTACGGGGCTAAACGAACAAATCAGGGACAAAATATAAACCACTCGGCAAGATGTGAAGCAATTAATACATGTAAAATTAGCATGTCTTCTCTTTCGCTCTGTCAATCAGAGTCTTCTTCGATGATCTCTGCCACGTTAAAGCGTAATCGTTAATTATACATATCGTGCAGTTTTAATTTCTGTTCTCACCTTGGCGACAAACTGGCGCTATTTTGCCTGTCGAGCTGACGGAACTTGGCGAACGGCGACAGCGGCTTCTTCGGAGCTGAAAGATCAACAGGGCGCTGTAAAGCCTACGAATTAACGCTCAGAAGCGCACGATATAATGTTAGACTCGTATCGAAATGCATACTAATTGTAAGATCTGACTGAAATGTTAATGTCTCTCTTTCTACATCTATTTTAATTGTCTATAACTGAATCCCTGGTAACAAAGGCGTCAGAGGTGCGGAATTATTAGAAAATCTGGATCTAGCAGAATCGTTCATCTCTCCACTCTCGTCGCGTGCCCGCAGCGACATGCATTAGTTCGTCTTACAAACAAATTCAATAACGGTTTAGTATGAAAAAAAAGAACATAAGGATATCACGATCACGAGGAACATACACGTGTCTGTACAGATATTAATTGTCTAAAGTATCTAAAGTAACAAGGAGGTGAACAAATCTGAAGTGAAAGAAAAACGTAGCACTTCGGATTGAGTTTCGATTGTAAAGTGGATAAGGTGCTAAATTCGTCGATCGACCGACATCGATCGACGCCACCGCCATGCACGAGCGTTGAAAAGGTATTGTCCTTGCGCGTGTACACACGCACGCACGACGCACTTGTACTTCCACGAGGACGTCACGAAGTGTGGCGGCAAGCATGGGTCAGATTATCGGTCGGACTACGTTTAGGAATTCTAATTTTTTTTAACGTAGTTCCGTAATTCGTAAGGATTAACGAAAGGAAAAAGCATTTAAAAATGTCTATCTCAATCTCTCGATCTATTAGCTATATAATACATACAATTCAACATAGATCTTTTGTCATCGATAGAGAGCTTTACTCCAGTTTGTTTTCAAAAACTTTAAAATAACATCTTTCGCGCAAGTTTGCAAAATTGCATGACGGTTTCGAATGTGATATCAAAGCGAAATTCGCGTAGAAATTGTTTCGTTCGCAAACGCGTGCAATAAGATTGTCCCCATGCCAGCTCAATATCATAAGTCGTCCGTGCAAAAACATCCATCCAAAAAGCTGCTTAATTTTTTCAACAATCTTCATAAAAAAAAAATTATAAATGTAACATATTATTGAATAATATTATGTGCGCATATAATTATAATTATTATTATGCAATATTGCACATTCTAACAAATATATTGAAAATCCCGTTAAACTTCTGAACAGATTGATTAAAGTTAGATACAATACGTTCCGCGAATGCCGCGAAATACCGTAAATTGCTGTAACAGCTGTAATTGCAATATCGCGCGTCGTGGAGCTATACATCCCAAGTGGAGAAACGTCGCCTTTGGCTTCTCATCGAAGCGTTTCCATATTTTCGGGGGATGTTTTCGAGAGATCTTTTGAGCTGAGTTTTATCCCCGGGCCGCCACAGCATCGCTATATGCTCGGCAATTGTACCAGCGCGCGGCACGCGTACACTAACGATATTACACTCATAGACACACTCGCAGCTGCAGTGCAAAACTGTATACGCCACTGCGCAACAAAAGGATCAACAAAAATAAGGGCTGTGACTCACTGCTTTATTCGGGGATTGGCATGGTCCTCTTAGCGACTCCGTCCGCGAGAACGTGCGCGTCGCGCTCGCGACTTGGGTTTGAATAAATATAAATAAATAAAAAAAAGAGGAGAAAAAATGTTGAGAGAGAAAAAGTTGGAGGAAAGGGAAGTAAGCGCGAGCCGTCGCGCGTGTAAGACGCGTGACTGTTTTATATGCGGATTTTGTGGCTCGTGGCCAACAATAAGTAATGCGCGCATCGAGCGGAGTAACGGAGGAATAACCGATGCGTTGCTCGGCGTTCTCTATTTCTTGCTGGTGTTACACTGGATCTCCGCGTTGCTCGACTTTCCCCGCGCACGTGCCAGGAGCGAGGCGATCTTGAGCGAGAAGAACGAAGAGTGATGCGTCGCTGGACAACGGCGGCGGTGACGATGGTCGTTGAATCGATCTGCACTACCGTCTCTCGTAATGGACAAAGACCATGTATCGGCGTCAATCCCGCCGTGGTTGCACGAGACGCGTTGCCTTTGCAGAGAGCTTATGTAGCTTCGTGTTCAGACACGGCGTCGCGAAATGTTTCTTTTCCTCAAATATGCACCTTCTAATCAGATTTGTTAGATCCTAGTATATAGTTTAGTACGAAAAGAGCTTCGAC